TGTGATGTTCTGTTGGTATACAAGGTCTGTATGACAATGTGCGGGACCACATCTGCTGCGATACAGCCAAAGCTGTGTACTAACGGACGGCAAACAAAGCAACGATTACAACAATAAAAACAACATCTGCGGCCATTTGGTTTCACGCTAGGTTGGCACGACAAGCTCAGGGCTGTTGCTACCTCTTCCCTGGTCTCTCTGTCATCTCTATAATTTTTTCGCTCTCTGTTCTCTCCTCCTCTCTCTGTTTCTGCTTTCGCCTCTCCTTCTCTGCCTGCGTGTCTGCCTGCTTCTGCCTCTGCCTCCGGCTCTGTCGCTGCCTTCCTCTGTTGCGGTACCTGGAAAGTCTGCATTGACCGCCTTCTGCCTTGCTGGAGACGTGATGCCTGCGCCACCAGTCTCCCGTTCGCCGATCGGCGAGACCTTGCATACATAGGTTCAAGAAATGATGACAGATGTGGATTCAGTGCGATCGATTTCGGATTCACGTGCGGCCTACACCAATACCATGCTTGGATTACCAACAAATGTGGTCTTATGCTTGCAATCGACCGGGCTACGTAGGCAATCGTTTTACAAGTGCTTCGGATCGGACGAAACTTCAAATCAACAAAATCACGCCCATCATGTCTCAATGTTCGGGCGACCTCAAAACAGCGGCCGCGGCAGCACCGCGAGATGACCCGGCCCTACGGCTACGACCACAACCTCCGTCCACAGAAGCAGAACCCTTTACTAATCACGTGTCCCTTACTCCTGTCGTCACCCACCCTCCATCCCACGCCTCCTCTGCTAAAAACAGTTGCGAGATATCGATCGCTAAATAAGGAGTTTCACCGTGGCAAAAAGGTGCCAACCGGGAAAGGCGAGATCAGCAAGATATTCCCTTGCACTAGAATAGGGCGGGGTACTGAGCCGTGGGGTACGACTCGATACCTTGCAGGCAGTAGTCTATCTGCGGCGCTGTGACGTTAAACGTTGTTGAATACACAGGTAGCGTGCTCTCCGTAGTGTGGTGCACCAGGCACAGGCGTGCGACGGGCGCGATGAGTTTGTGTGCCGATGAGGGGGGCGGCCCCTGTTGCGTATTCTTGAACACTACATGCGGTAGTTTATTTTCTGTTGATGCCACGCATTGACGAAGCACCCAAACATGAAGTTTTCCCGCCGCGCGCAAATCGGATGCGGGCGTACGCACATCAGGCAAAGACATCGAATGCTGCATATGCCTGCCGACGATCATTCCAAATGGCCCGCAGAGCACCAGAAGCATTGTAGCATCGTGACAGATAGATGGGACAGGCTATCGATTACCCGACACACTCAAGCGTCAGTTTTGATCGTGGGAAGGGTCCAGCCATCCCTGTCCCTCGTCCACCGTGAAGAAGCCCCCCCCCAAAAATCACAACCCGCCGCTACGGACGTGTGCGGGCGAAATGTTGCCGGCAGAGGTCCGTGTGCATCTCGAAGAGCTGCGGCAGTGGTATACCGCATAGGGCAGCAGTCGCGTGGGGCGACCGCGGGCTGGATGCCCAACAACAGCCAGGAATGCCGAGGGCGTCTTGACTCATAGGCACATGAATCACCACACCAGCCACCAGGGAACGATCTTCTGCGTGCTAGCCTCAACGATGTGACCATGCTTCGATGCGCTCGCTATGCATACAAGTATCGCAGTTCAGCGTGAGCATCCATTCTTAACAGCCGAGGGCGTTTAACTCTCTCATGCACTCAAATCTTCGGCGGACTCGTCGTGTTTTGGGCAGCCGTGAGGCCGTCCAAGACCATACTGTAACGTACAAAGGCGACTACAGCCGTAGGACACATAAGTGCACACTCTGGAGACAAGCCGCATGGTGAAGACGACAACACAAACCGTCCTTCAAGCCTTGGAGCTTAACGGAGCCACCGGTAGACAAAGGATAAGCACACACAACACACATAAAAACTACATCGACATTGTGGATCAATGTGCGATAATCAACCTATAAATACACAAGGTTCCCCTGCGGGAGTTAGGTCACTTGCCTCGGGGGGGCAACGCAAGAGGACATGACCAATCAATGCCATTGCGGTCGCATGGTCGCATCTCAACTTCATGACGTTCGGTAGTACGGGTTTGCGTGCAACCTGCATAATTTGCCCTGGAATTTGTATCGTGTGCGGGCTGCTTTGTTTTCTCCCGCAGTGACTTTTCGCTTGTGCGCGAGTGTGTGCTTTTAGGCTAGTGGTGTCTTCGCTGCAGGTCCTCGTGCTGTAATCCGTTGCGTTTGATCACTGACTCTTCTAGTGAGATCGTATTTCCCATGTATGGTCTGTGGGACTATTTCACGCACACACCAAAGGATCAAAGAGCCGCTCAACGTGCCCGAGAACGGTGACAGACATAGACTGCTTAACACATATTGGCAATTTTGATTTTTCGAATTTTCGGAATTGAAATATAAATGACAGCTGCCAGAGTTGTGCGAGAGGACTTCTGTGTCGTGTGGTGTGTTCCCATGAGCAACATCAACCAAGAGCCTTGGTCCCCTCTGCGGTCATCAAAAACCGCTGTTTCCAACTGTGGTTTGACAGCTGTGTTGTGTTTGCGCCATGCGCAGGACTGCACAAGAAAGAAAACTGCTGTGCTGTAGTTGGCTGTTTGAAGGGAAACAAGCACGCCGTTGCCACTTGTCGAGTTCCAATGGATGCCAACACCGTTGAATGTTCTTGGGGGTATTTGTTCCCCTTGGTTCAGTTGCAATGTACCATGTGTGTTGAGCTCCAGCGCCCAGCTGGTCTTTCAATATCGTGTATGTGCTCAACAGCCGAACAACGCGCAAAAATCATCATGGAAAAGACACGTGCAACTAAACAAAATCAGACCGCCAAAGAGGAAACACGTTAACACCCCGCAAAGAAAGCGTTCCGAGTCAGTTTTCATGTATATCTGAAGGCTCTTTTTGGTTCCGATTCGCAGCCCCTGATAATAGAGCCAGTCGCGGCCACTTTAAGCGGCCAGTACAGGTACCACCAATGTCTCACGAGACCAACGCATAGGGGCCAGAATGTGCGGGAAGTCTGCCCAGATATGTACCAAGTCGACTATTATTGGTGGTTTTGTTCTTTTTCTCTGGCGGGACAGTGTTTTTTCTCACACTTTCTTCTGCATGGCACTCAGAGGACCCGTCGGTACATCACCCGTTGCGTGTGCCGCTCGCCAGACATCGGTGGTGCGCGTGATGACCGCTCAAAAGTCGGTTTCACTGGCTCTATTCCGGGGGTCGCGATTCCGAACCAATAAAAGCCTTCATGACAACCAAAATAAATTTCCATGTAGGCGGGCTGATGATCTCTTCACACACATCACGGAACATCACCAGCAGTTAGGAGCAGACATCCACACAGGAACACGGTACAAATACATTACTCGTTGCGTGTGCAGCTCGCTAGGCATCGGTGGTGCGTGTGATGGCCGCTCAAAAGTCGGTGTCACTGACTATATTTCAGGGGTCGCGATTCCGAACCAAAAATAGCCTCCGGAATAAAATTTCTATTGTAGGCGGGCTGATGTTCTCGTCACACACATCACGGCCACATCACCAGCAGTTAAAAGTAGACGTCCACACGGGAACACGGCGCAAACAGAAGGAAAAGCAGGGTGTGTGTGGTAGAGCAGCAATTTTGTAAAAACACGCAGCGCGGCTGTCCCACACAGGCACACAGGTGATGCGTGCTGTGTACTGCTGTGGTGCACCACAACAGCAGTGCAACAACAGCAATAAAAAAAAAAAAAACAGTAGTTAGGTCCGGTAGGCCCGAATTATTACTCGTGGTGCACACATCACGTTCACCTGTTGCGGACGCCCACACAACAAGGCCGTGCAAACTCAACATGGTGCAAACACAAGATTCAGCAGTAGTGTTGTGGTACAGCAGCATTCGCATGACATACATATCTAAACGCGGCTATCGCAGGCCACACAAAAGATGTGCAAACAGCTGTTGTACAAAAAAGCAGAACAATTGTTGGCCGGGCTTTTCGACGTGATTTCGAACCTCGGCAACGACGTTTATCTTTTCTTGCGTATTTTTTTTTACTGGACTCTTCTTACATGGTGTGAAACGCTGCGGCCTTCTCCCTCGCGACTAATATGTAGGTCGATTGTTATGCTATAGAATGGTTTTTTTGTGCATCTACATTCACGCGAATATTCCGCAACGTTCTGAGAGTGACAAGAGACAGAATGTGCATCGCCCCGATCGTAGCAGGTCAGTACGTTATATTTTAGCCAACGCGCGATGATAGTGATTGTCTGTCTCCAAAGAAAAATACGGCACAGTAGTTCAGGTGTTTTTAGGTTTTTCATCTTGCGTCACCCCCGGGAGGCATGCTCCGACGTCCCGGAACGGGGAACCTTGTAGTGTATACGAAGGTGGGAACGGTGGTACGGGTTTGTGGGAAAAATAGAAAACAAAAGTGGTGTGTCCGTGTGGGTGATAGATTGAAAAATATTGAAGAATTTTGATGGTGGTATGGAGCAGGTTTTATGCACACGTCCAGGAAGTGTTGAGGATAAACTAAGGACGGCTATTGGCACGAGGCATGAATCGTTCATCCGAACGTGGCATTGGTACAGTCGAGGGACCTTCATAGTGCCGATTGAATAGTGCCAGGTGCCCGGTTTAGTGCCAGTAAAATCTCCGGACACAGGCGGAGCCCTCAATAGTGCCATACCGGCGCTATTGTGAGCATGCCCGGTATAGTGCCGGTTGGGCGCCACTGCCACCCTCAATAGTGCCGGTTCATCCCCCCCCGCGCACACACACAGCACACATACACACACAGACAACCAGGCAAAGGACAGACTCTAGACAGAGGAGTAGGGTACAGGTTCTGCTGCAGAACAGAACAGCTCTTCGCAGGGGCGTACCATGCCATGTGCGGAAGGTGAACCGTGCGCTCAACAGGATAAGACGCCGCAGGCCCCACACGGCCACCCTTACAAGGGAGGATGTGGCGGGCGGCTCCACGGCAATTGCGGCAGCATGTTTGGCGACAACGAACAGCACCGCATCTGCAGTGCGTGCGTCGCCAAGGACGGCAAGCGCAAGGCGCCAGCAGCTGACACCGGACCGGTGGAAGGGGACAATCTAAACGCCCGAAGGTCACGAATGGGGGGAGTAAGAAGTTTCAGCCTACTCGAAAGGGGCCTCGTGCGCGGCCGGATTTGGACGCCAAGCTTGAGATGCTGAAGCTCATGGATGCCAAGGTCACTCATGAGCAGATAGCGGACCGCTTCGCGTGCTCGGTACGGCTGGTCCGGGATGT